GGGAGGGAGGGAGGATAAGAGAGGGGGAGGAAGGGGAGCGGGCAGTGCAGGGCAGGGAGGCTGGGGAGCGTGGACAGCAGCGCCTCCCAGGCAGCGGCTCCCAGCCCCAGCCTGCACACATGCACCAGAACAGAAGGTCCCCTCCACCTGCCCACCCAGGAGGCACTAAGGGCTGGTCAACCTGATGGCTGTCAGGTCCAACTCCACAGCCTTCTGTGGACCCTGAGGGGAGGCCCAGGAGCCAGCCCAAGGAGGTGGAGGGTCCCTCCACCCTGCCTGGTGGGGGGAGGGAGGGAGACCCAGCAGGCGAGGTCTCCCAGGCTAGTGCTGATAGGAAGAGACCAGCTTTCAAGAAGGGACCAAAAGTTGCTCTTCACGTAACTGGCCTGCCAGCTCAACTGAAGGCTCGTTCGTGGCCAGTACAGCATACATTATTTTTTCTCTAGAAAAAAAAAAGCTTTATCCTCTCCCTGCATTAAAAACACCACAATAAAAATACATAGGAAATTCAAGGTTACATAGCATGCCACCCCACCCTGCCCCACCCCCCACAAAGTCATGACCTAATCTTAAAGAGCTCCGAAAATGTGCATCAACACAGAATCACACTAGATCATCATGAGAACCCAATCAGTTCTTTCTTTACAGGACTACAAACTGCTGAAGACCCAACACAAAAACAAACAAACAAACAAAACAGCAAAAAAAGAAACGCAAAAAACCAACCCTTTACATTCAGAAATCCAGCCATCTGAAAACAGGCTACTGGCTGTGGAGACACCCAGGCCTTGTGCTCAGACGGCGAGAGATGCCTTGGGATTCACACTTGCGCGGGACAAAAGGTCCACACGCAAGTTTAGAGATTCTTGTGCTAAGAAAAGACACACATCGTGATTGTAATAGTTGCATACCACGGCGAGGAGGTGGGGGAGAGGAGGCAAGAGAGAACGGCTGAAATTTTGTGGGGTTTATTTTTTGGTTGTTACCACTAAAATATGACAACCAAAAAACAAACGAACAAAACCCCCACCAGTCCAACTTCAGCAGCACCCTCTTAATCTTTCATGGACTAAGAGGCACACCACAATCCACAATTTAAAGCACGATTCTTGCCTAGTTCACAATAATTTAGCAGTTTTATCACCGGGAATGAGTCCCAGTCGCCATGTTTTTGGCTGTCCACAGTTCTCTTTGGGGCGACAGGTGAGACATGATGAGATGCACCCCTTCCACCCCACCCCCACCCCCACCCCCAGATGCCGACACAGTTCCTACAGTCACAGATCCTCGGCGCTCAGAAGTCACATGCCAGGCCAAGTTGGGGGCAAGCGATCCCACTGTCTTGGTCTTCGGGAAAGGCATCTGATGGCTGAGTGCGGGGGTGTGGGCCGGGGAGCCTATCATTCTGATTGGTGCAAACGAGAGAGGGACCAGCCCAGCACATTGGCAGGGACACTGGCAGAGGCCCCTGGCCGTTTTCAAGTCTCTGATAAGTGTATGAAGATGCTAGCTGGGCTTCCCAACATCCACTGTGATTTTGGTATACAACGGGGACCGCTCTACGGCCAACACCTTGTAGGAGAGTGTGTTCAAACCATCCAAGAGCATGGTCTCCTTCGTGTGTGCAATTCTGTCAAACCTAGGGGTGAGAAAGAAAGGCAAGGAGATGGGGTTACAGCAACACCAGCAAACAGTCTCATGGCACCCCTTTCCCCCCACTTCTCTCCCTCCGCCCCCCACAGAGACTGAGCCCTCTTAAGCCTCACAGCCCCGCTCCCACAGCCTGCCCCATTTCCTAGTGGCAAGAGGACTTTGAAAGAACCCAGAACATACCTCTGAGGATTAGGTTCATTTTTTTTGTCTCTTGAGTGGCGGATCATCCGACACTTCCCAACCACAGCACTGGGGCGAGATATGGACATGCCTTTAAACACTAATCTGCAAAGAGCAAAAAGAACAAGTCGTGAACACAGAGTTGCCCAGAGGTTTGGGTCCAAGAGTGTCGCTGCAAGATTACTCTCAGGCCCGGCGAGCCCCACCCGCCACCCTTGCTGGGCCTACTCCAAGGGAGCATTGGTTGGGACCCACCCTTCTGCCCCATGGACTTTAACCACCGATTCTGCAGTTCGGGTCAAGATCAGCCACACAAGAACACAGCCTGGTGCTGTCTTGGGGTCGGTTCCAACTCAGAGTGACCCTGCAGGACCGAGCACAGCCACCCAGTGGGGTTTGGATGGCCGGGCTGGACGTCCTGATGGGAGCAAACTGCCTCATCTTTCTCCCACTGCATGACTGCTGGGTTTGAACTGGCGACCACTCACAGTCAGAGTGAGGCCCTTGACCTGTAAAGAAAGTCGCTCATCCACCACCGACCCTCCCTCTCCAACCTGTAGATGCTTCAGGAAGTTGAAAGACCTGACTATGCACATCTGTGCTGTCCTGACAGCCCTGTTCCCTGCCACATACAGGTGGCATAAAGGGTTAGGCGCTACGAGCTGACAGGCTAGCAGTTTGAGTCCATCCCTAAGATCCTTGGAAGACAGGTCTAAAGAACTGCTTCTGGAAGGTGGGAGCCTTGGAAACCCGATGGGGCAATGGTTGTACTCTGCACCTACGAGGTCACCGTGAGCTGAAGTTGACTCTCAGGAGCAATCCACGTTGACGATGACGATGACACACACCTACCATCTGGGTCCCGGGAGTTTGCCCAGGTGGGGTGCTCTACAGAAGTCCACTCATTCCTGGCTGGATCCTGTGCCAGGCCTACATACCCCAGTGGGCTTTGCTCAGTAAGTTCACACCCGATAAACACATGTTTTCCTGAAGGCTCAGTCCAGGTTCTTAAGCAACATGAAGCTTGGGTGACTTGGATGTGGCCCTGTGTTAACCGAGCAACATAAACGGACATCCAACTCCGATGGCTGTGCCAGGCGATATGTGGTATCAGACTCACTGGTATCAAACACTGACTCCCCGGGGTGGGGGGGTGGGGGCGCAGAAGAGGCTTCCTGCCGGTGACTGGCAGAGTGGAAGTCAGCATTGGAGACCACCTTAAAATCTGTAAGGGATTTAAGGAGCTCTGGGGGTGCTGCAGTGAAGCACCTGGCTGCTTACTGAAAGGTCACCACTTTGAACTCAAAAGTCACTTTGTAGGGGGAGAGCTGTGGGAGTCCTCTCCCCTAAAGAGTTAAAGTCTTGGAAACCCAACAGGCCAGTTGGACTCTGTCTGATCAGGTCAGTCTGAGTTGGAATTGACTTTATGGGTCTGGTTTGGGAATTTATCCCTAAGGTGGCTTCAGATGTCACTGGGGCTTGCCTTTCCTCCATCTGCAATGGCAGCCCATGTGACGACGCTCTGCGGTCTTCACAAGAGCCAAGGGCTGTGTGATCAAGACTGCTGGGGTGGGGAGGACACAGAGGTGCACTTGGCTACTCTGTCCTCTTTCGTGTATGGTAGAAATCCTTCAGGGGTGGGGGTGGCTTAGGATGCCCTGAAGAAATTTAGACATTGGCCCCAAAGCATTTGTTTCCTACTGAAATGGGACCAGAATACGCTGCTGACACTCTGCAATGGGCACGCTGACTCCCTGCTCAGCACAAACACGCCATGTGGCACACCCAAAGCCCACTCTCACCTGCACCTGGTTTCACGTGTTACCCTGCCCAAGACTCAGCGCCGAATCCCAGAAGCGGATTTTTCTTAAAAATCAACAGGACACAAGGAGTGGCCTAGGAGCTTGGGCCGAGGGGGGACCGCATCCCTCCCAAGGGGCCAAGCCTCACAGAGTAAAACCAAGTAATGAGCCAAGCTTCGCACGCAAAGGCAGGCAGAGAGGAAAAGACCCGAGCCGTGATCCTTCATTACCTGTTAAAAATGTCGTCATCCTCACCTCCCCAGCCCCAGTAATTGTTAGGAAATCCATTGATGGTGAGGAACTGCTGCTTGCTGAGAGCCGAGACGCCTCCAAAATACTGAACATAGGGCAGGCTGCCAGGGGCACAAAGGACCAGTGGTTAGAATGCGCCGGCATGCTCAGAATAAAGCTCAAAATAAAGCTTGCTGGAAATCCTAAGAGTTTTAAGGTTATTCTTCATTCCCGGGGACTTGCTTTGCTCATTTATTGTGCTATCGCTTTAGAGAAAAACACAGATATCAAAGCGGGATCTTCCTCTTTCCAAGCACACAGTGCTGCTTCCATCGTCATTAGGAAAATTCAACGCGAGGCAAGGGTGAGCCGAGCCCAGTCCTTGCCTCAGCCGGGCCCCGTCCTGTGTCCTGCCCTGAAAAGGAAGCCTTCCCCGACCCCAAGGCGGCCTGGGAACCTGAGGGGGTTTCAGAAAGTCTCTTGAGGCTCATCTGGAGACCACCTGTCATGTCTGCCCTGCTTCCCACGGCCATGCTGTCTGCCGGTCTAAGCTTTCACTCTGTGAACGCTGTGCCAGCTCAGCCCCCGGGCCTTAGGGCCTCACAGCAGCATTTCTGAAAATCTGGTCTTAAAAAAAATGTTTCATAGAAATGTCTCCCTTATGTGACAGAGCAAAATGCACAGGACACCCGTGTGTAATGTGAACCTACTCTACACCTACATAAGCCAGGGGCACACAGGCTCTCTCCTCCAAGTCCTTTTTGTTTCCGGTTTACAGGGGTTCTGGCCCAAGGGCCACCCGTGGGCTGCAGCATAAGCTCCAAAGAGAACGCGCTTGCCCCAGAGATCCCCCTGGTACCGTAAGGCTCCAAACGAGCTGGCTCTCACTGGAATCCAGAGACACCAAAACCCACCACACAAATTAAGGAAAACTCTAAACTCGGAGGGTGAGGGTGGGGGAGGTACGAGTCAGCCAAACACAGAGAGAAAATAAATAATAATGAAAATTATTAATTTCAAATACCTTCAGGGATCCTGACTGGGAGCATTTAAGTATTCTTTAAAGAATAGAAGGTAATCAACTGTAATCTGGGGCCAGACCCACCACCTACAAACACACCTCACATTACTGCGCTTGTCCCATGGGGTTTGAACCAGAGACGGGCAAGCCAATAGGGTTTGCTGGTAACCAGGGTTTTAACAGAAACAGACTCCAGACTTAGCCATCTCTGTTGATAAGACCTGGGTTTGCGGTCCCTAGTTTTCTCTACCTGCCCCTCCTGGTGCACCTTCGAGCCTAGCTGGCTCTCTGTGGTCACTTGGCCCTCCTCTTGGGCTTCAGGGGGGAAACCAAAAGGGGTTAAGGACCCGTGTGTCTCCAAGAGCAAAAGACAGAGAGGGAAGGCAGGAGGGCATGGGATGATTTCTGCAGAGTCTAACACCAAGTGTAACGTCATCTCCCCTCCCCCTGTCTTAAAACTGCAGGTCTCAAGGCTGCCTAAAGGCCTGAATGCCTCATCTAGGAGGAGGGCTTCAGATTCACCTTGGAGCCCCTGCCACCCCCCAGCAAGCAGTACAGACTGAAAAAGAATCGGCAAGAAGGCAGCTGTCCATGGTGACATCTAAACAAAGGGCCTGCTCTCCAGGCAGGCCGGCCTAAGCCAAGACTTCCCAGCACAGGGGTCCCTGCAACACAGCTTCCTGGAGCTCTGAGGCTCCTCAGAGAAGGGAGGGAAAGATTAGCTCATTGAGCTGATTTTAAAGAACAAAACAAAGCAAAACAAACCTCACTGCCTTCGAATCAGTTCTGACTCCTGGCAACCCTACATGTGATGGCAGAAGAAGAAAAAGAACCATTCGTGTTAATATGAAATTAACACGGATACGTTATGGAGTAGAGCGCAGACTTAAAAACATAATAAAATAACAACAAGGCCATTTCCCAGCTCTGGTGGGGCTCTGGATCAAGCCTTGCCCATCACAGAGCGCTGCCCTGGACAGCAGTGGGCTGGCCTCTGCACCAGAGCCACCTTGGTGGAGAAGCCCGAGGGTCCAGCCGCCGATGCCTGTGCTATGCTGGGAAATGTACTCATGCGCCTCAGGACGCACAGAGGCACAAAGGTAGAGGGATCCAAGCCCAGGAAGGCCTTGGGGAACATGACTCTCCATCTGCTCTCCAAGGTGTGCAGAAGGGAAGGCAGAGGAGACACTGGGCCAACGCAGCCTCGATCTGGAAACTACAGCAAGAGCCACCCGCGTATGCAGCCGGTTCTGGGCTCCGGGCTCCCCTGGCCGCTCAAAGACTCGCTGACCTTGGGTTCGAGCAGCACCCTGTCCTCAGAGCAGCCATTCTCTCCCAGAGCCCACAGAGGCACCCCTGGGGCTGGCAGAATCACATTTCCCAGGTACCAGAGAGAAGCCCCCGTGGTGGAGACTGGTAGAACAACTCTTACCTAAATCCAAACTTATCCATGGCCACGGAAATGTGCCGTGGCTGTGGAAAACACCGGTAGGCATTATGGTCATCCATTGGAATGAGGTCCACATCACTGAATACAAAGCAGTTATAGTCGTAGTCTTTCAAGGCCTCCTTAAAGCCAACGTTGAGGAGCTTAGCGCGATTGAACATGGAGTCTCCATCCTGGGGCAGAAACAACGGAAGTGATATCAGACACCCTAAGGTCAACTATCTTCACACAGAACACCCACAAGGGCTAGGGATTGGTCACCAGACATGGACATTGGTCCACTCTTGGGCCTCACTTGTCTGCCCTCATTTTATAAATCAATCCTGAGGGGCAGACCCTTGGACCCAAGCAATCCCACACCTAGGAGTGATTGTGTAGTAAGACTTGTTCACACAAGAATGACATGTGAGGGGGCTTCAAAAAGT